CCAACATGCATGGGAAGTTTCATCATGATCCATCAAACAATGTGGGTATCACCGGCAGAAAACCTAGGGATTCGGCGCACACGTTTGGTAACTGTCGGCCGGAGGCTGTACCTCTTATGACGTCATAACTCCGTGACCTGACATGACCCGATCAATTTTTTTTCGGCAAAAGATGCGCAAAGGTTGCCCCAGAGGGTATTGAAAATTTCAGCCCGCTACGACAAGCCGTTTAGCGTGCAGTTCGAAAAAAACCTCAGGGGGGGGGTTGATACAACCCCCCCCCCTAGGCGTTCTAGGGTTAAGGCCCTCAGAGACCAGTACAGGGCCTGCAAAGGGCAGGACGAGACTTTTAGATGCCGACTTGGACCATCAGAGGCTAACGTGGGTCCTTACAGGCCAGCATGTGCCCTCAGAGGTCAGTGTGGGACCCTAAAATGCCGGCATAGGCCGGTGTTGGACTTCAGAGGCCAGCAGAAGGCCCTCAAAAACCAAAATGGGCCTCAGAGGCCAGCATCGGGTCTTCAGAATCCAGTGCAAGACCCTCAGAAGTTAATGTGGGTCCTTACAGGCCAGCATGGGCCGTTAGAGGTCAGTGTGGGGCCCTAAAAGACCGGCATGGGCCGGCGTTGGACCCCTAAGGCCAAGATGGACCCTCAGAGGCCGATGCGGACCCTTAGAGGCCGGCATCGGGTCTTCATAATTCCTGATGATGACAGTGTTGTCGAAAGCTTGTCTCTTTTGTTTCTCTTTGGTAAACTAAAGAACCAATACAATTTTTGGCATGTTATTGATCATTTTCACATCAATTTTGACTATAATGTCTTCATAATTCAGTGCAGGGCCCTCAGAGGCACCTAAAGGTTAGTCTTGGGACCCCAGAGACAGAAATGAGGCCACCAGAGGCCGGTGTGAGGCCCTCAGACGCCGGCTGGGCCCTTGAGGCCGGTTTAGGGGCCCTCAAAATGTGGTCAAAGAGGTCAATGTGGGTTATCAGCGGTCATTTTGGGCGCTTGATCGCCACTGAAGGGCACTCCGAGATCAGTGTAGGACCCTCAAAGACATGGTTTGGGAATTGGGAGCTGTTAATAGCTAGCGTGGGATTCTTGAGCCTCGTGACAATCGAATAAGGGCCAGAGCCCCATACGCCCATGGGGGCCCATTGGTTGTTTGGGAGGGCCAAATGATATGATGACCCCCTGATTAGCCTTTGGAGGGGGGAAGGACATGGCCCTGATCCCCCCTCTGCGACCGCCACTGCACTGAAAGTGGAAGGGGGAGGGGCAGATTGCTGGCCCCCAGCCTGTTTAAACCGAGCCGGGGGCACGGTCACCCTGGCCCCCAGCTAGTAGGGGAGAGAGGTCATATTGCGCCACCTTAACCCTCGCCCTGGCAGGGGGGGGTCGATGCGACCCCCCCTAAGGTTTTTCGAAGATAGCGTAAAAACGGCGGCGCGCAGCGCCGACAAATTTGGCACAGCCTATGGGGCAACCTTTTTACATATGACCTGAAAATTTCAGGTCCGGGTGACCTTGGGTCAGGTCACCAGGTCAGAAAAACCGGTACAAGGTCATGGTCAAATTTCAATTTTCTTTTTGCACCTGTCCAACTCACAGTTTTGCACTGATTTCCTTCAAACTTTCAGGATGTGCTAAGTCCACCGAGTTGTATAACATATAGTTCGGGTTTTTTGAGGTCATTGACCTGAGGTCAGTTAGAGGTCATGACGTCGTAATGTTAAGCCTATGGGAAAATACTAAATTCGGAAAATACTGGAGATATCCGCTTTGTTCTATCACTTTTGTGCTTTGAAACCACCGTACTTAACAGCAGGTCACTTGGTGCTTCTTTGTTTGGTGTACTTATCCATGGGTCAGGTCAAATGAGGTCAACTGAGGTCAAATGACGTTTTTGCTAATAACTTGGCACATAATGACGCTAGAGCTTAGAAAATGGTATCATTGTGTTCCTGGTGATCAGCCAAATCGAATGATATGCGATATGATGCCATTTGGTTAACTTTAACTTAATTTATTAATTTAAGTTTACTTAAAATTTAAGAAAAACTTTAAGTACACTTAAGCAAGCTAAAAAGTATATCATTCGACGCGCCTTGACGTGCTGAGTTCACTGGTGCTTTTCTTTTTGCTCTATCTTAATTAGATCAAAAGTTATAAGCGAAAAACTTTTGACCTGTTTTTAGCGAAATTTTTACATTTATACCCCCCAAAAACCCCCTAAATATTGACCTAGAGCAACCAAATTTGCACAGGGGCGAGAACTCCAGGGGGCCCACCTACCTACCAAATTTGGTGTTCCTAGGTGCCATAGGAGCCAATCGCGAGGGGGGGGGTCGCATCGACCCCCCCCCCTGCCAGGCCGTGTTATGAAAAATGCCCTGCCAGGGCGAGGGTTAAGGATATCGGCCTATTGCGGCTAAAGTTGACCAGCTGTCATGTTTGATGATATTTCAAATTGTACCTCAGTTATTTTGGCATCAAATAACAACTCCCAATTTGTATCATACCCAGAAAAATTAGCAAGAGAAAAGTTTCCGGCACATCTGCAAAGGGCGCATTTACGGACTCCCCCATCAAAAAGCGCCCATGCCTCTCATGTAAAAGCGCCCTATTAAAAACAACGGTTTGCCACCTAACTAAGTAGCCTATTTGAACGTGTCAGCCCATTAACCATTTATGCTGTGAAGGCTAAGGTAATGGTAAGGTGAGCGCTGTAATAATAAAAGTGTTCAATGAAATGTGTCCCAACCACCAGATGCTGTTTCTCTGGGTTGAAGAATAGGGCGCAAATAGGGTGGGCGCAATTACGAATGGAACACATTTTTCATGAGCTTCAAATATGGCGACGACAGCGAAGCCACGGTGGTGATAAACTTTCAAAACTACCATTAAACGAGCAATTAACAATGATTATTAGTCGAATCACTATCACTAAGATAAACCATGACACTAGCAAAGGTCGAAATAGACTGTTTCGCGTAAGAAAATAGAGGAAATCACAAAAAAATGGTCTGCGAGAAAGCTGAGACACCTCACCTGCCCTCGTGGACCGGAATAAGAACGAGTTAGGTATTGGTGGTGAAGTTAATGCACACATTCGAGTATTCGTTCGAATCGAATTTTGGGCAGGAGGAAGGTGTGGCGCATTTAAGAACATGGCGCAATATGACCTCTCTCCCCTACGCCTTTGACGAACTACATATGCCGACCCCAAGCAGATCCGGTCAAGCGTTGGTCGTTTGTATACGCATTCTCCTGCACCGTGCTTGTCTTATACCTTTTCAGTGCTCGCTGTCCCGCGCCTCGTATTCAACCCATATACCAGTTGAATACCAAGGCCTATATACGGCCTAGGTATTTAACAAAATGCTGTCACCAGGACTCACAGTCTTGTCTCTGATATGGTTTCCTTCATTGAGTGAGGGAAATTGCGGTCAATAACGCTGTAGAAACACAAGGGAATCTTCAAAGGGCAAGCTGAATAGTTGTCAAGTTACCGGGTGGTAGGTACAGACAGACACTTAAGTCAGCAAAAAGTGGGGGGGGGGGCAGTTAACATTGCTGGCCCCCCCACCTCCGAAAGTGGGGGGCCATGGCCCCCCGGCCCCCCTGTTCCTACGCCTATGCTACAGGGTACGCAGTATTTTGACCTCTCAAGGTCAAACGGTTTGACCTTGGAAAAAAGGTCACCATTTTCGAACTCAGCGTGCCATGGGCTATCTGTATGCCAATTTTGAGCGAAATCATTACTCGAATTTGAATCCGAATACGAATACGACGCTAACTTTATGGACATCAGCTAGCTTCGCATATCTGTGAGAATCTTGGCTTCGCAATGGTGGTGGTGGTGTATGTGGGGGGGGGGGGGAGACGGGAGGACGCTAATGTATGTACTAGTAAAAAAACAATAAGTACTAATAAGTACTAAGTAACTTTCTGAGCATGCCCGGGGCTATAATGTGACAAGAACTTGGCCCTAAACAGTGATGTTTCTCTGGCAAAGAGCAGAAATTACCCTATCAGTTGCATATAGGAGATATTTTGTCGTAAAACAAAATTATGAAAGCATACCATACGTGTTACCGTAGTGTAATACATAATAATAGTGTTACAATGTTGTTAAAACGCTTATGTTACTTGTTACACCGTGGTTACACCATGATGTTACTTGTGCACCAAAATTAGCAGTAAAATAGTGCATTGTTGACGCTATCAGCTGTTGGTGTTTGACAAACAAAGACAGACGTGACGCAATAGTTACTCTTGAGTTACTCAGACGTTTTTGTTTGTGTGTGATGGTGTGAATTTTAGATATTTTATTGGCTGAATTTTGTTATTTTTCAGAAATAAATTTCAGACAGCCTTGGAAATATTTTTTCCAACAGAAGGTACTGGGAGGAGTAAGGCGGGATCTGGATTCTGGGCATAAGAATAATGCTGGACCAGGGGACAGGATGACAATGGTCATTGGTCAATGCCGATGGTTGCCCAGCGACGCGCATTTCGTTATTATCATATTTTTCCCTAGGCCCTGGCGCTGTTCGGTCGCTGTTTTTATATCAGCGTGCTGTCAGTTTTCCCCATACAAGGAAGTTATTGCTGGCACTTCTTGGCCTATTTTTGGTCTAACGATAGACCACTTGAATCAGAATTTGACGAATGAGGAGCCAAGAAGTAGCAGCATGCTCGCAGCCTGCTGATAAATAAACGGGGGGCGAACAGAGCTCCTGTTTCACCGGTGATAGGAGCACGCTGCTATCAAATGCGTGAGCTGATGTAATGTGATGACATCACACTAATGACGTTTCGTGTAATCTGTGAGCTTTTTCATAGCTGCGTTTGGATCCGAGTTGCTGTCTTGTTGAATATGTTTGATATATTTGTTTGATTGCACGGCCATGTAGATGTTAGCAGCAATATTTGATGACATCACACAGATTGATGAAGTCATGGTTTGCTGATGTTTCCATGGAAACCCAATTTGACACTGTAATAGCAGCGTGCTGTTATCACCGGTGAAACAGGGCCCTAGTTAAAAATTCACCTTGTCCTTATCTGATACTTTCTTTTTAAAAAGCACAATAAACTTGTTTTGTTGAACATATTCCTTTGACTATTTCAATTTGTCAAGAGAGTGCATACAAATCACATTCATGACTCAGCTTGAGCTCAATGTTGGGTTGCTTGAGCTTTGGACCCACTTAAGTGGGTGGGTGTGGAAAATAGTAGTTGCAAAGTGAAATATTCTACTTTGAAGTGCACTGTGGCTTGTATGAGTTGTATATTGAAATTAAACTTTTTGCTGAAGCCACACACTTTCAAGTTTGATATCTTTGATTCATTGTCACCATCACCAGCATCAAATTCATTTTACTCTGTACACTGTACCTTTGGAAATAATATGAATATTGGTAGCAAGGGGTGATAAGGTAAGCTTGGTGCCTGGCATGGTTCCAAAATCCAAAGGTAATACCCAGATGTTAGAATTAAGGATATCCAATTTTGTATTATGTTAAGCATTTTCCCTTTGCTTTAAAATAACCAGAAATATCCTGTGTAATAAACTGAAAATGGGGAATAAATACTAGTTCTGTCCTTACTCTCAACTAGTGCCTCTTTCCTCACAATCAACTTAGCCCTTTCTCTATTTCAGCTAATTTTATCTCCCATTCCCTTAGCTTTCTGGTTGATTTCATTGCAGACACTATTTTCTGCCAGGGAGCAGACATCAAAGGCCTGTTAAAATAGTTAGGTCCTTTATTAACACATGACTCGACCTTAAAATTCTGCTTACATTTGAAACTTAAGATTCAGAAAGAAGTTAAAGTTTCAAAATGCAAGCAGAGTTTTAAGGTCCAATCATGTCTCCATTCATGTAAGAATAAGAAAGGAGCTTAACATTCTTTTCATGATGTGAAGCTTGAGCATAAAAAAGCTACTGCATAGGTGCCAACTGCCAGTGACCACTTTGCATTTCACAATGAAGCACCATCTAGATGCTACCAATGACATTATGAACTACTTGGACAATTAGGTACTAACCCCATAAAATCCAGTTCAAGTTTGCCAGGCAGGAGTCAGATCCATGATCAGGAGTCATGACTCAGGATTTAGGACCCTAAATGGCATTGCATAGGTAGTTACTAGTTACCTGAATCAGTTTTAGTGCATATAGTCAATTTATCTTAATTAAATGAGAAATCATAAGTAAGGTTTGAATTAACTGTTAAAAATTGAATTTTTTGACACTCAGACTGACCACAATAACTATACCCTGCTAATCTTACTGAATTATCCCTCGCCGGTCGGGGGGGGGGGGGTGCCGCCCCCCCCCAATAGGTTTTTTTTCGCTATAGCTCCAAACTCGCTGGCGATAGAGAGCTGAAACTAGGCATATCTGACCTTTGATTCAGGCCGGATCTTTTGACACCAACAGCATTTTCGGGTCAGGTCAGGTCACTGACCTATGACGTCATAAGTGAACCTCTGCACAGTCTTCAGATGTCGCCACTTCGCAACGCCCTCACTGCCAGAGGAGCTTTCGCAGGGAAATGAAACTTGCAGAATCTAGTATCCATTACGAGTCTCACAACTCGGATTTTTCCTAAAGGTCATATCAGGTCAGGTCATTTTCGTGACCTCACCATTATAAGTCAATGGGGAAAAATGAAAACTGCTATTCTGGCGCCGAGAACGATCTCCAATTATCTCAAGCACACAGAATCGTGATTTGATGAACTCCTTGCTAGGTTAGGTGCGTTACATACGTTTGCAATGCTGAGTGCTGACCTTGCGTGACGTCATTTATGACTTCATCAAGGTCATATTAGTTTTTCGTCAATAACTCATGATAAAATTGAGCTAGCGAGCCGGGAAAGCCACCAATGGACTGAGGAAGACCTGCCGAATCGAATGTTATGCGACATGACCTCCTTCGACCAACTTCGTGACCTGGGGGCGCTGACCTGACCGTGAGCTGAGGTCAACACCCTAAGTTGACCTCACCCAATCAAAAAGTGTATCATTCGACGCGCCCGAGCAAGGCGAACACGATGCGGCCAAAATCGCGGCTCTGCGGCCGTTTTTTTGAGAAGTTATTCACCAAAAACTGAACCGTACCTTGGAGCAGTTGACCTGACCTCAGAGGTCACCGGTTGACCTGGGACCTTAAAATCGGGTACCTATCAATCTTTGCGTCTCGTAACGGCGCACACGCTCGTTTTTTCCGCGACGTGCTAGCTCCACCAGGGGCGATACGGCGAGGGGGGGGGGGGTGGTCGTACCCGCCGCCCCCCCCCCCTCGGCCGGCGCGTATGTAGAAAACCAATAGGTCCGGCGAGGGTTATTACAGGACGAGTAATCCCATGGAGTCTTCTAAATGCCATGCCCATAGCCCCATGGGTGGCGCTTTTCTCAGGGAGCCATAACCATGTAGGCAAGGCAATACTTCTAGCTTTCAAGACTCCGAACTAAACTATCCAACGAATGCCCTCCTCGACAGAATGTTATTATTAGTCTACAGCATAGAAGGAACTTATGTTTTTGTCATATGACAATGACATTTCTGTTTCAAAAGTTTACACATTGAACAGTAAACACCATTTACTTTTTCCTTTAACATACAAATATAGGTGTTTAAATGCCGCCAATCATCATTGTGAGGTAGGTCATTTCAATCATTTTGAAGATCGTTTTATAACCAATATGAAGGCCATTAAAGGTAATTATATACCAAGTAGTATTCGCAATAATTACACAGATAATGTTGGCTTCTGTTGCTTGCAGGTGATCAGTGATGAATGACGCCGACCGGGAGACGATCCGCAGGCAGCTGCCCAGCCTGCTAGCGTCCGTGCAGCTGTCTGAGGAGCTGCTGGACCAGCTGCAGCGGCTGCGAGTGCTCACGCTCGACTTCCGCGAGGAGCTGGACGTGGAGCCCCGGCCGCGAGAGCGTCTGCGCCGGCTGCTGCTCGAGATACCGCGCCGCGGACCGGACGCCTTCGACGGCCTGGTGAAGGCCCTGCTGGAGACGGGGCAGCTGGAGCCGGCCAAACTGCTGCGGCCGAGTCTGACCCACGCGGACCTATCGCCGGCGGCCCTGGCGGCCATCTCAGCGGCCGCCATCGCCCGGCAGGCGGCTCAGAGAGCCCCTCACTGCACCCCGACCACCCCAGTCCACCGGCCGCCGCCGGTTCAGGAGCGACCGCCACTGACCGGAGACCGTCCGCCGCCGCCGGCCGCCGGGGACGGCCCCGACGCGCCCGGTCCCAGCCTACACCTGCGGCCCGCAGACACAGTCCGCGGCTCGGAGAGGGACACCTACCGAATGATATCGTCACCCAGAGGTCTGGCGCTCGTCATCAGCAACATTAACTTCCGCGACACCGATATGCACGAGACGCGTGAGGGTGGCGAGCGAGACGAGGTGGCGCTGCCCTCGCTTCTGGAGCAGCTCGGCTTCGAGGTGCAGTTGGAGAGGGACCTGGACCGTGCGCAGCTTCTGTCCACCATCAGCGCGTTCGCCAAGCGGCCGGAGCACGGCATGTACGACATGGCCGTGCTGGCCGTGCTCACGCACGGTGGACAGCACGTTCTTTACGGTGTCGACTCGCGCACGCTGGGGGTAGAACAGGTGATCAGCTGTTTCTCGCACGAGGCGGCGCCTCTCCTTACCGGCAAGCCCAAGTGGATGCTGTTCCAGGCGTGTCGCGGCGCGGAGGGTAACATTGCGTCGCGGCTGATGGATTCGGGCCGTCAGGCAACAGACGGTAAGGCCATGTCTAGTCCGGTTCAGACGGTAGCGGAGTACGGCGATATCTTCCTTACGTACTCGTCAATCCCTGGATATGTGTCGATGCGAGACCTGGACCACGGCACGTGGCTGGTTCAGGTTCTTTGCCAGGTGTTTGCCGAGCTGGCGCACAGTCATACACTATCGGAGCTTCACATGGTCGTACACGATCGTATGGCTAGTATGGTAACAAGCAGAAATGAAAAGCAGACCATCGAGACGGCTCAGCGCGGCTGGTCCAAGAAGCTCTACTTCAATCCGGGCCTGTAGATGGCGTGTAGGCCGCTCCACTCGCCTGGGTCGCCTGTGGCAAACTACGTGCAGCCTCTGCTCACTACCTGTGTCTTTACGCCTGGATCATGGTGATGTTTGGTTCCGAGCTCCAGTACGCCATCGGATTATCATCTTAGCGTCATTGATTCGAACAAATTTAGTGAACAGGATAAAAAAACGCTACAAAAAATGCCAACAATGAACGGGGTGTCAGGTGCGGGCAATCGTAATAATCGCTTACTTAATTGTGACATTATTTGGGGTTTAAGACCAAAACACTATCCTGATTAGTTATGCAGCACGGTATGTTTATTTGCTTGATTTATGCTACGTTGCTTTGATTGTTTTATGTTTTGGATTGCTATCGTATTGCGTTTAGCTGCTAGTGCCAGTAGTTGGTGGAAAGTGTTTCCAGACTTCCATGTGGCGACTTCCCACAGGGCGGTAAATGTGTATACCTCGGATAATTCCATTTGTTCTTGACAACGATCGCCAGCTCAGCTGTTTTGGTTAGTCCCTTGGGCTTCCGCCGATTGCTGATGATGCGATCTGTTGATTCATGCAGCTTCTTTGTGATCGCCCGTGTCCGTCTCGGTATGTGTCCTTGTTTAGGGATTGTTTATTGTGACGCCGAGCGCTTTCTCGTGATCGATAATGTAGTGTGTAGCGTCTGATGGTTCCAAACCATTCGAGCTGTTGTGGGATTGAGCATATTGCATAAAGCTTCGATGGTATAGTGGAAAGGCCATTTAAAAGTTCTCTGCAATCTTCAAGTGCTACGGCTCATGATGCAGTGTCAACATATCCATTATTCGCAGTGACCTTATGCAAAATACTGTGCCTGTTGGACCTACCTGGTGCACTACAACTTTCAACTAACCATTATGCTGTGAATGCAATCATCCAGCATACTGATATCAATATTTTGATACCGCTTTTAGGCATTTAACCCACTATGCGATTCTTCTGTATCGCCATGGGCCTTTGATTGGTCGTGATGCACGTGGGACTCCCGTACTGTCCATTTCCGTGTGATCGCTCATGAGTCATAAATATATTGCCGATTTCGAAATGTTTTTGACCAGTTTCAGTCTGAAGACAGCGACAGGTTTCCGGTTTGACAAGCGCAAGTGATGCCGATTTAGCAGCTCTGCCGCTCTACTAACGAACGAGCATTGTTTGTAGGGTAGGTAGCAGTACTGTTCGATTGGTTCAATTAGTGGTGTCAGACGACATTGCAGCTGTTGTCTGTAGGCGTCACCCCAACCCAGAGGAGGACCTGATGAGGTATTGGTTTAGGCAGAACTCTCTAGATGCATTCGTTTACTTTAGAACGCATAAGAAAAGCAGCTCCACACCTACCGGCGTGACTTTGGTTTTGGCTGTCTGCGAAGGCCCGTTCCCCAGTCTGGCGAGCAACGCCAGCGCCATCTGGGACCGTGAGAGCCTCATGTACTATTATTACGGCTGGTGTACGCCAGGTGACACAGCAGGTCCTATTTCGTTCGCTGTTCGCTGTTCAGTGCTCACTGCTTACTTCTCACGGTTGACTGACGGATCAAATGGGAAGGGGGTGGCCGGTGGGACATATGGCGTAAATACCCTTTCTCGTGGTGCCCGAATTCGATTAGTTTTCCCATTTTTCTAGAATGGAAAGAAAGCTTTCAAACTTTGTTAGAGGAGTTTGTTTCAAAACGCATATGCAGTGCACTGCATACCCACTGCGTAAGGAATCGAAGTTTGAGTTTTTTTTTTAATTCGGAGAATTATATTCGTGGTATTCGGAGAACCCCTCCCACCGCAGTGTCAAAGACCGCTTTTCTGGATCCGCCCATACTCACTATACCTACCTGCTACTCACTTGTTACTCACAGTAGGTATGCACAGCGCTCACAGGGCTCACTGCTCACTGCTCAGTAGCCATTCTCACATCTCAGCTTCAGGTGACAAGGAACGGTCACGTGATTAAGCCATAGCACTTTGTCGCCTGTCGGTCACTAGCTATGAGTAGCTACTAGCTCCCATGGCTGTCCGGAAAGAGTCCGGAGTCCGGACCGCTAAGTCCGGTGTCCGGAGACCGGATAGGCCGGCTGTCCGGACCTCCGGGTAGACAGGGGAAATTTTTGGGGTCTCCGGATGGGCAGAGGCGCAACTGCTAGGCCTACGGGCGGACAGATAAGTTTTCGGACTTTCTGACGGAAAGAGGAATAACCGGCGGACAGAGGAAAAGCCACCTGAACCACGAGCGGAAAAAAGAAAATTGTGAGGCTTCCGCACAACGGAGAGGAGGACCGAGGAGGATGACCTACCTCTGAAACTCTGGACGGACAAATGTGAAAAGTTCGGGTTCGGGACTTCCCTGTTACAAGCGGATACGGGAGCGACTTGACCTATGGTCCGACGAAGACATCAGAAGTAATGGCCCTGATGACACGCGCCATGAGGAAGGCACTAACGCTCATTTGCGGAAGGGTGGTTTTTAGGCTTTGACGATTTTGACGCGTCAGTTGAAGATAAATAAAAGAACGGCGGGTATGAAAACGCGTAAGTTAATTGTTTTAGTCCATCAGCCTCACCACTATCTCTACCTCCCGAAATCCTTTTATAGCCACACTACCTTCACGATTGATGGCAACACCGTGAATAAAACTCAGTCATGTCTGATTATTTACAAAAGCCACACTACCCGATGTGTCCTGGGTCACAATCACATTTTTATCCATCCCGACGTGTCCACCATCACCTCTATATTGTCTCCTGACGTCAGAGGAAGGCCTCTGATCCATACAGGTGCCGACAGCTCGCTGGCTCCCCGGAGATTGATACACAGATGGTGTGAATTATTGAGAGACAACGGCACCGCTGGGGCTCCACGTTCCGGTGCCTCTCGCCTCGACATGTCCCTGCGGGCAGGATACCTTCTCATGTATTTTCCATTTGTGTCGCTGGGGAAACTAAACAGAACATTGGTGCGAATTGGAGTGATGGAACGATTCAGTTGGTACTCTCAATTGAAGGGGAAAACATTGAAAGTTTGCTGCAGAGAACCGATTTGCATTGTTTGTAGAAACAATATTCAGCAGAAGGTGAACCTTTTAAGGTTTCTGAAACGCTATTTCAATGTATTCATATGGTATGCCTGATAATATTTTTTTTTCCTAAGATAGTCCGTTACCCATGATCAGGTAACCAGGAGTGCCCCCTCCCACAGTCCCGGCGACGCACAGAAACCTTACTTTAACACCAGGTAACATAATAAATTGATCAAGTCGCGGCACTCCCTGCTAAGAAGTGGAAAATATAAATAAAAAATAACGCATGCAATACTACTAAAAATGTTAGTAAGTACGCCAAAAAGGAGGAAAGTAGTCATTGCCAAGTGAAGCAAAATGACTGCCCACTATACCAACACAAGCAACTATCATTTATACCAGTGTTAGTAATTAACGCAATACGCATTCATACTCAAGGTGGGGAAAAGCATGCCTGGTCATGTTCTTGCAAGGTTATTTTTATTGCCGAAACCCTTGGCTCCGTCCGGCTAAGCTAGGCTTGTTGCCAGACAGAACCTCAGGAAACAGCACGGACTAGAGTATTATAAGAATTAGTACAATAAGTTGTATAGATGTCAATGTAGGTAATGCATGTAACCTACATTCAATTTGCATATTTACCATAAGGCAAATATGCAAATTGAAATAGACAATGATTGAGAAGGGCGGCACACAAGGATTTATTGTAGTTGGTATTTAAAATAGGTATATACGAATCGTTATGTTGTGTACATGCATGACATGCACATACGTACATACATGCATATGCATATGTATCATGTACGCGAAACATACACACACACATACACACACGACACATATGCATCCCACAAACCAAAGTGGGTAATATGTACTATTTCCAACGCAGAGTACACCGTGGAAATAGCACATATTTATACAAACCCCTAACGATATACGAACAGTATAGCTATACACAATATATAGGTAGGAATAATGTTTGTCGCTATGAAGTTGATTATTCTTATTATTGTTTTGATTGTTCATTAATTGTTCATATTTATCTTAAGTGTTGTATGAATCAACAAAGTGTCTGCGTATCACCTTCTTTATTATTTGTTTTGAAGATGGAATATGATTAACAGTTGTGAAAAGAGGTGCAACAATGCTATTCCACAATCTAGGACCTAGAAATCTGATAGTAAATAGTCTGTAGTTGCGATTAGAGAAGGGCTGGTTGAAGCGAGTGGTACGCCTCGTGCCGGCATGGTTTTCGGGACTCAAATCAAACAGGTTGTTAATTGTTTCTGGAAGTTGTTCTTTAATAAATTTGTGCATAACAAGAAGCATATGAGATCTCGCTATATCAGTTATCCTTAATAAGTTATATTTTTTGAAAATAGGCACAGAGCTCTGAAACTCGTTCAATTAGTCTGACAGCTCTCTTTTGTAATATGATGAGTTTTTCTAACTGAGCATGGTAATTATTTCCCCAAACGATACAGCAATAGTTAAGATATGGAAGAATTAGGGCATTATACAAAAGGAGGGTCGTTCTCTTATCAATATAGAAGCGTACTCTTGCCATTATTCCGATGTTCCTGCTAACGATATTTGATGTATAGTCTATATGTTTTGTGAACTTCAATGACTTATCGATGAAGACTCCTAAATATTTGATAAACTCTTTCTCTTTAATATCAGTTGAATCAAGTACTACGTTTACTTTTAATCCTGAAGACTGAGTTGCATAATGCTGTGTGAAAGTTTTTGTGCCGTTTAGAGAAAGAAAGTTTGCATGAAACCAGTTACTGACTTTTTCAGTAACTTCATTTACAGTTCTTTGTAGGCTATGTATGCATTTATCTTTAAATATGATTGCAGTGTCATCTGCATAGGAGAGGCAAGTTACGTCAGGACTGATGTTTGGTAAATCATTTATATATAATATAAGTAACAGAGGACCCAAGATCGATCCCTGTGGAACTCCCATAGTAACATTTTTGACAGATGAGTATGCTTTTCTTATTTTCACACATTGCTTCCTTTCTTGCAAGTATGAAGATAATATTTGTTGTGATTTGTGTCTTATACCATACCTTTGTAGTTTTTGTAGAAGCAAATCAATGTGCACCGTATCAAAAGCTTTTCTTACATCTAGAAATAAGCCGAGCGCAAAGTTGCCCTCTTCAAAGGCTTTAGTAATTATATCTTGTAGAAGAAGAATCGGCATATAAGTTGGCTTTCCTTTTTGAAAACCAAATTGATTACAGTGAATAATGTTGCTTCGGTTAAGATGCTCAATGAGCCTTCGGTATATTAGTTTTTCAAGAATTTTTGAAATAAAGGGTAAAATGCTAATTGGTCTATAATTACCCACTTGCTTTTTATCGCCATCCTTAAATATTGGTTTGATGATTGCCACTTTTAGGGGTGATGGAAATTCAGCTTTGCTTAAACAGGTGTTCAAGAAGTAAAGTAAAGGATTTAGTATGGCCTTGTATGAAGCTTTAAACAATTTAGAGTTAATGTTGTCGATACCAGCACCGACATTTTTCAGTTTATTAACTATATCGATAAGTTCTTGTTCATTTGTAAGAGTTAAATCCATTTCTTCATGCACGAATGGTACTTCGCTCAGTGGGTCAAATGGTGAAGGTGGTATCCTTTTCCTTAAAGTTTCACCTATCTCGGAAAAGAATTTGTTAAAGGTTTCTGCAATATTTTGATCATCAGTTACTGTTTTGTCATTGCCATCTGAAACTTCGCAAGGAATGTCATCAGTATTGTTGCCAGTGTTTATCAAAGATTGTATAGTTTTCCATGTTTCTTTGGAGTTGCCAGAGTTTTTATTGAACTCATTAATGTAATACAATCTTTTGGCAGACCTAATGACGCGCGTGAGAATGTTCCGATATTGATTGTACTGAGTTGTATTATTATGTGAAGGATTTTTTAGCTTATTTTTAAACAACTTGTTTTTTTGGGTAATAGAGGTAAGAATAGCTGGAGAGATCCATGGCATCCTCGGATGGTCTTTCCTGGTGAATCTTTTTGTGTA